GAATATGTATTCAAGAAGCTGAGTGAACACATGTAGAATAGAACTCAAAAGTAATCAGGATGGGTGTGTCAGAGGCAATGAGATTGGCACGGGATAGAGCATGGTTTAGGGCTGTTGTACAGAGGGTCGCTATGAGTCGCAAACGACTAGATGGCACATAACAACAACAACAACAAATACTATGCAGCCTACACATCTGAGGAAGCCTATCTTTAATCTGATAAAGATAATTATATCTTTATAGATCTCTCGTGATTCTTTTTTATTAAGATCATGTTGTTGTTGTCAAGTACCATCAAGTTGAAATCAACCCATAGCTGACCCTCTAGCGGGTTTTCAGAAACAGTAAAATACATGGAAAGATATCGCCCATCCTTCTCCCAAAAAGCAACTGATAACATTCAAACCCTGAGCCTTTGGGATTGCAGCACAGCTTCTTACCACTGGGCTGTCAGAGCTCCCTTATTAACATCATAAATATTAGAATCTACAACAAATAGAAAAGTTATATTACACTGAGAATTAAAACAACATTGGCATATAAACCATGACAATCCACTCCTTGTCCGTGTGGTACTTCTTCATGTCTTTAAACCATATGCAATTATTAAGTGAAAATAATTATAAAATCATACTTGTGCCTAATATGCTACAACAAATACACATAAAATGGGAATCATAGAAGCCACTTATGTATTTTATAGTTGAAAATAAAAGTATACTATGCATATATGACAAGGAAGAAATAGAAGAAATACTCTCAACAATTAACAGTTCTCATTTCTACAACTAATCACATTAGGTAGCTGGTATTGAGAGCTACCTTCCTCAACCACTCATTCTGTATTTCCTTTGCCCTTAGCAAATAACTTCACTCGTCATAGTTCTTTGTCTGGTACAGTGACTCAAGCTTTCATTCCTGAAATATCTAGACCATTAGCAGCTGTGTCAGAGATGGGTTACTGCAGTTTTCTAGTGACTTTAATGGCAATATTAGTATTTACTAATAAATACTAAAAGACAACATAACACTCTCCTGTTTTCCAGACATACTCTTCTTTACTGCCATTATGTAATATCAATTCTTGTTCTCATTGACAATCAGAATAAGCCATACTAAGCAATAGAGTAACTCTCTTCACTTATTATTCCAGAGGTATCAGCAGCCCCAAGTGGCTTGGAGGCATGTTTTTATTAATTTTTTTAGATTATTTGTATACAATCATTCATATACACTGTTTTATATAACTCCTTACTCTTGATTCATACCATGTATCTATTCATGCCATTTTCTCAAATCCTAATTGTATCTTTCTTATTCCTTCTCCTTTCTCCTTTATGTTAGGCTCCTTTCTGCCCTTTCCCCTCCCTTTTAGTCTACATATATGAGATGAATTGATACAGTGACTAACAGTGGGCTAGAGAATGTCAGAGATTGTGAGATTAGTGCAGGATAGGCAATGATCAGATCTGTTGTTCATAGGGTCACTATGAGTCCAGTCAACTCAATGGCATAAAACAATACAATTTAGTATTATTAAAAGAATGCTTTATTACCAGTAACTGTAATAGTCTCTATAGTCATAATGAAATAAATACTAGCAATTACAGAAGTATAATAATTAAATGTACCAGCCATTTATCAAGGGAGTTCAGGTTGCCTAGTGGGTAAGGACCCAAAGGCAGGCGATTAGAATCCACCAGCTACTTCTCAAGAGAAAGATAGGCATTCTGCATGTGATTTACTGCCTCTGAAAACATTTGTTGCGTCAGCTTTGGGGTGGTTTCACCTTGATAACACATAACAATAAGAGCCATTTAACAAGATAAATTTAAAATCCCAAATCCTAAGATAAGTAGCCAGAACAGAGAGAAACTTAGAGTGATGCAGCCTTCATCTTCACTTTTATCCTCTTTTGTTGAGTAGGGTAGAATATAACAATACATTATTAGTTTAAAGAAACATCTTTTTCATACTTAAAAGCAGTTTGTCAAAATTTATAATACTACATATGTTTACTGATAAAAATGGAAGTCACAACTTTTAGTGAAAGGTAAGCTTTCAAGCAAATATTTTATAGTCTTCAAGTTTATTGTAATGTTATTGCTGAGGAAATGGATATGACATCATAGATTTTTAAATAGCTTTAAATCTATTTCAAAAATCCTTTCGTTAGTAAAAGGATATTGTTCTTTTCAGTCCTTACAGTAATACAAAAGATGTGATTTCCTAAAACCTAGTGTAGTCAATTGTTTTTAGGTAGTCTTATGTACAAGTATTAAAAGGTTGTTTTTTTTTTTAAGAGAATATAATATTTATTAGCATAGAGAGAGATCATCTGGCCCAGTGCACAGAAAGCGATGCTACCAAGCCAAAGGTGGGTGACTTTTAATCCGCGGCCCCCCAGTTTGTCTTTCATTGTTTTTGTTCAGACATTCCTCTAGGTCGTATAGCCCTGGTGTACAAGTTGCCGTACAGTGGTAATTGTAGTTGCTGTGAGACTGAACACTGTGACACTGATGTTGTCAAATGTGTTAATGGTTGGTTACCCAATGTGGACAGAGAGTGGGGTGGAGCTCCCCATTAAAACAAGGTTGGAAGGAGAAGTGGCATCCACTTCTGTAATAGCTTGCCTCCGGAAACCCTATGAACCTGGAGAGAGGATGAGAGACATCCAAGCGTTGAGAACTCTCCTTCGTAGGGTCGCTGTGTGTCACCTGAGACTCGACGGCACTTAACAACAACAACGTGTGTGTGTGTGTGTGCCCGCGCATATATGTATATATGTGTATATATGTATATGCATATATATATGTGTATATACGTATATATAGGGCAGGAGAGCACTTCTTACAGGATAAAAATGGCTTGCTTTGGGTCTTTCAGTGTAATGTGCCAGAGAATTTAGGGTGTCCTTGAGCCTTTGCCTAGGGTGGAGTTCTGCTCAAAGATGTGGCTTTAAAACCCTGAAGGGAGAGGGGATAAGACTGCATTTTCGAACGAATATTCATTAAATGATACAGCAATCTTTTGTCTATTTGCTGAACTGAACAATTTTGTGTTGCTGTGATGCTGCACACTTTTCCATAGTCTTGTCAAATATCATAATGGTTACCCATTATGTACAACGTTTGGGTGAGCGTCCAGATTGATTTATGCTGGGAAGCGGAAGTGGCATCCACTTCCTAAACTAGATGTCTCTGGAAACTCTACAAACTCTCTAAACGTACAGAAATGATGTTAGTTATGGAATAGAGTTCAAGTTGTTTGAGCAAAACTTACTCTCAGTCATATTCAACTTGACAACACTTAACCACTGCTAAATGAAACTAGTGCT